TTTAACATTAAAACTATTTTTTAAACTGTTATTATAGTTTGCAACTTTTTAATAATATATTTAACACTCATATTGCTTTAACTATTGTTAAAATACTTATCATGCAAGAGCTGCTCCATTGACCGGCTTGTCATGTTTTTTCTATACCTACTTAGTAATGATATTACATTTGCAAAAACTGGTACGATAAAAACTCAATTATTCAGGAAAGATGTTGTCTTTTTCACTTCAATAGTTAGTGGTCAGTTTACTCGTCTCTCTAGCGAGTTAAGTTCTGAAGTACAGTGCTAAGACTTATGAAGTAAATCAGGCGTAAGCGAGGTATTACAAACTTTTTGTTAAAATAACCTACTTGAAATTTTTTGTAAAAAGGGCTTCGAACTCGAAGTCGAGTGTAGCTCTGAGACAGCAATGTCAATGAAATAAAACCTTTATTATCCTTTGAAGTAGGTTCTATATGTATTTCATTGAACTTCTTTACTATGACACCGATGTGCCCGACGTCGAGTCAAGGTCGAGTTCGAGGCTGTTTTTAGAACAGAATAGCATTGATTGAACGGAAATGTTAAAATATATATATATATATTGGAGACACACGCCTCTTTAATGTCTTTCTTATTAAAGTATGTTTGTAGAATTATATAATTTATATGCGTTTCTCTATTGATGCACATTGTAAAGTATATGTTTATAAATAAGTGTGTAGAAAATTAAAATTATAAAGATATATTATTGCATTTAAAATGTAGTAGTAGAATCACCATTAAAGAAAGTGCTCATAGTAGAAGAAATCATATTTATTTAATTAGTGTTAGACTTGTTTTAGGTCAAGCAGAAATTTTTCATTAATAAAATACACAAAACGCACAATTTGTTTGTTTTATTTAATAATAATTATTTTTTTTCTCTATAGCAAACAATGTGAACATAAACTTCTGACTTGTCTTGTTGGTCTGCTCTGAAACTAAAAGATCGATTTTAATATTTCTATCACCTACAAAAACTACATATTACGAGGATGATATAGTTTTTTTATTATAGTTTGATAATGAATTGACTAAAGAATAGTCTAGTATTTACTTTATACACACCGTGCCACATGAATAGGACCAGTGCATTTTCCTTTACTCTTTAAAATATAAATCAAAATAAATATCTAGTAATAAAAGATATTTAAATCTTAAGACAAGCCACGTTTAACTATAAACAATTTAACACCAAAAATACTCAACGAGGCGCTCGCAACAATTCCTATAGTCAATGTGTCGCGCCACTTGAATATGACCATTAAATAAAACATGATCTGGGGTGCAATATCACATAATGGACCGATTAGTTTAGTGGTAATAGAAGGTAGACAAAGCTCTTAAAGTTACATCAAACTTCTGCAGAATGAGAAGTGAAAGCTTAGCAGTGCAATATGGAATGAAGGTTTTATTTTTCAACATGATAATGCTAGTATTCATAGTGCACGAAACGTTCGCGAGTGGTTTCTACAAAATAATATAAATATTCTCGATTGGCCATCACTCTCCCCCGACTTGAACATAATTGAAAATGTGTGAGGATGGCTGTCACATGAAGTTTATAACAACAGTAAACAATATAACACCAAGCACGAGCTCAAGGAAAGTATAATTTAGTGTTGGAGCAAATTACCAATTACATTTATAAGAAAACTACACGACTCAATGCCGTAGCGCGACACATTGACTATAGGAATTGTTGCGAGCGCCTCGTTGAGTGTTTTTGGTGTTAAATTGTTTTTAGTTAAACATGGCATGTGTTAAGATTTAAATATCTTTTATTTCTAGATATTTATTTTGATTCATATTTTAAAGAGCAAAGGAAAATAAATGCACTGGTCCTATTCATGTGGCACGGTGTGTAGAAATATAAATTCTTTAATTATATGTAACTGGGAAATAAATTCTGATTAAGCAATTTCGCCGTCCATTTAATATGAATAGATTATAATGAAATTAAAATTTGGGTATCAACTCCGGTTATGGCGTTAAAGGAAACAAAAATGTTGTTTTATATATTTTTTAATTGGTGTACATGGTTATGCATTACAATAAAATATTTTATCAATTGTTAATTCATTAAATTATGGCACTTAACACAAATAAAATATATTTAAACAATACGTACAGTGAATTAATAAATGTCGAAATATAATAATTATCATACAATATATTTTCGAGGTAAACTTAAGTATAAAATATTCGGAATTCTTTCTCAGTCGTTCGTTGACGTTTCGCAATAAATTTTTAACGAAACTAACTAATTTTTTTTATATTTTTTTCTAATTTCTAAAGAAAATAAAATATTCGACTCAAAAAATCAACCTATTGATCCCAAACGAAATTATAAATTAAATCTTACAACAATCGTGAAGTTAACTTAACCACTTGTACCGATGAGGACAACTGACTTACCACTTATCCAACAACTTATCTTAAAACGAACGCGCAGGAATTGATGTCATTATAAAAAACCCTTTCTCAACATTATACAAATTGTTGATAAAAACTTACACACTAACAAACTCCTAATTGCGTCAATACCGACTAACAGACAAGCGCGATGCGGAAAACTGACGCAAAGCCTTAAAAAATCATAGTTTCGCCACCGCTAAGGCGTGTTTGTTCTATTAATACTTTATTAATTTGTGGAAGCATATCCGGATGCTGTTCGTATGTTAAATAGACGATACAATGAACTCCGTATTATGCAACAAGCGCACACTCACAACATATTACGCTAACACTAGTTTATCTTTAAATACATATACAAAGGCCACATCACATCATTCAGTCACAAAGCGAATTTAATTCTTAATGGATTATGGAACGGCTATATTACAAAAGAAACATGATTAACGATACCTATACATAAGGATACGTATTTAAAACCGTCTAATAATATTTCACTAGTGTTTTTATTTTAATAATAACATTGTTAATATGCTAATATTGTATATTATTTGCAATTGTACAACACTAAATTTTGTTGTCAACCTACGTTCATTATTTATGAGATTTATTAGCCTCTCGTTATGTAACCACTGAACGTAGTTGGCAAGAATATTGTTAAATTCACGTGCGTAGAGAAAGACACCGCGATAATTAACGCTATAAAATAAATTTCGTTCCTAATTTATACGTATACAGACTACTTCACCAAATGTGAATCGACAGCACGAACGACTACAAGAGGAACTGTATCGTGCATTTCATACGTTTTGTTACAAACTTTTTTGATCTCTAATTCCACTACTGAAGATATTTTTTTCCATTATTAAAATACTTATATACAAATATATTATTACATCGATAAATACTGATGTTCATAATAGGTTTATTATGATTAATAGATTATTATATATGCCAATATCGTAGCGTCTATAGATTATTACATTCCGTCTTGAGCAATACAAATCCGTACCAAAAATATCATTTCTATATATGCGACCCGCAACGAAAGCGATGATATGATTAGTTATTATTTACTATTAATATATAAAATAGATACGTAATAATATATAATGCAACTAAGCTTGCCTGTTTCTACTGTATATTGAAAGATGCTATATATGCGGTAAACTCTTGATAATTTTTTAAATATAGTTGATACATAGGGACTTGGCTGTATGAGTTAATTCCCTTTGCTTTTATGAAACTAAGCAGTGCTGGTTTAAGGAAATGTGAAGTGGATGGGTACATGCAATTAATATTTTAAATAGTTTGTTATAACCCAACACCGCCGTAACCTTCTATAGCAACTGTAGGATTGCATTTAAGGAGGGTTAATAGGTAAAGGCCATGCTGTTATTAATGTGCACCGGTTAAGCTTTCCCACAGTTTCATTAAGTATTATCTGGTTTATGTGAAACGAACCGTGTAAGGATGGTTATTGGGAGAGGGGACATGCTGTTATTAATTGTAGACGAGTTAATCCCAGTCCGTAAGCTTTGAGATATTCGTAAATATTATTCTTTTTTTCACCATCTTTTAGGATGGATTGTTACCGCAACAGAAATCTTTCATTTATAGACAAAGCAATTGAATTTTAAGTTGCCATATATAGTACACATTATTTAAATAGGATTTTATATACGTCTACAATATGTGGATAACTTTAGACATCGCACGTATTGAAATATTTTATCTAAATATCAAATTATTTGGTGTCTTTCTCTTAGCAATAATAAATTTAGATTAATTCAGTAATTTATTACAAAACAATTCGCCCTTATAAGTATGTGAGATTTCGCCCTTAAGTTAAGAAGTAAATAATTTATCTATATCACATTCCATAAAAGAAATATTTACCATTGATGTTTTAATACTTAATGGTGAAGCCTACTCATCAGCAGTAAATATTCCACAATTACAATTCTTAGGATAATTATAATATGTATATTTATACACAGTCCAAGACCTTGTGGAACCTTAAAAAGTAGGACTAGATTTTACCTCTACTGAATAAAAATGTCATAGTACGATTTTAGTGATGTAAGTATTAAAAATGGAGAAGTAAGTATAGTACGAAAAATAAATCAGAACAAACAATATTACAGAAAGAAATTCTTAAGACGAAAGCTTCTCGTGACTAAACGATTATTTATATTTACATAGTACGAGAACAGAGTTTCTATGATATCCCCACTTTGACACTTTTAAAAACGAATCTCATGTCCACAGTGTACAAAAGTATATCGACGATCACAAAACATTCACAGTTCACAACACTATAACCATCCTATTCGATTTCAGAAAAGAATTCCATGCTAACATTTTACAGTAAAGATGCTTTATACGCCGTCATAGAATTTAAGATTGACTAAATCTGCAGCGAAAAGAGATCATTGGAGGTGGTTGTATAATAGTATAACAGTAAATGTAAGCATGGAGTACTTAGCTGATCTACTTCTTTCCAAAGTTCAGTCGCAGTGGCCGCCAAGATGGCTGCCACTCATGCTATGGTTGCCAATATCAGAAATCCTCCAACAAGACAGCGTCGCGAGGAACTAGACCTTTATGGTCGCCTCTACAACACAGCAAGTACTGGTCGTCGACCTCCAGTATCAGCCGTAGTCGCTCTCCTTCGTTGAAAGCCAGATGGCCCGAGTCTGATGGTAATCGATGCCATAACGTTCTCACGTACCTGGAAATCAGACGAGGAAACTGAAATCATCTAAATAAATGGAAACATTTAAAGATATCAACATAAGTCAGTTTTTAGGGTTCCTTACCCAAAGGGTTAAAACGGGAGCCCTATTACTAAGACTTCGCTGTCTGTCTGTCTGTCTATCACTAGGTTGTATCACGTAAATCGTGAAAGTTTATTTTTTTTAACAACATACTTGGTGTTTTTTAAGAAATCCAGACAGTGACAATAATATTATTATAATCAGAATCGATTTAAGTCATTTGAATGAATCAGGCACAAAAGATGTTCAATATATGGGATTCCATCATACGCTATAAAAAAGGGAAAATCTAAGTGATAAAATAAAAGCAATAGCTTCTGAAGTTGCAATTTGTATATCATGAAAATCTACCGCAACTTCGATAAATGTTCAATTTACAATGGCAATCAAATAATCTTTCTTACAAATTTCTTCTAACACAATAAAAATGATAAGTAGTAACAGATAGAATATTGGTATATCCACATAGTTTCAATTGGAGATGAAAAATTTACAAAATAGTTCTGGACCTTAAAGTTAAAATAATGGGTAATTGACGATGACTATACTAAACAATTAATAAAATGTGGTCATACCTATGTTTTTGCTGAGTGGTGGTGTGATGAGGTCGTGACGCTGAAGAGGAAGCCGCTCTCCTCGGAGCAGCTGCTGGTGGTGCCCGTCCGTAAGGTAATGATGAAGGGCGTGGAGCAGAACCTGCTTGCCACGGTTGATCTACACGGGATGTCCTGTTCGTTACAATAATAAAAAAATGTATCAGACCTTTAAAAATAGAACTGTGGCAAATCATTCCATGCTTTTACGATGCAGAATCTTGATTATTTCTGAGTTTGAGATGAAATATCAATTTTAGTAACCAAAATCAATTCGATATTTTATGAAATACTACATGCATTCAAGTTCAATTTAATCATGTGAGAACAGGACATATTGTAAAAATATGTTAAAGATTAAATAAAAGTAGTAATTTCAATTATTTATGAACATCGATACATATGTACATGCTCTTATTTTTGTTTTTTCATAGAAACGAAATATGAAAGTAAGAAATAATCTTTTCTTTTTTAAATAAAAATCTTTTTGCATTATTGTTAAAAATCATGCCATTAAAAATAATCTTATTAGTTCTAATACAATTTTGATGTTAGTTTTGTTATTTTGCAATTCTATATATTTTACATACGAATATTTCTTATTATTTGAGGTGGTTTTATTAACAGCTTCGTTTGATACTCGAGGTTTAGCCACAGGTTTCTTCGTAGTCGTCTCTGGCATTCTAGAGATATAGCGCAAATAATAAATAAATGACAATAAATATTTACCTTTCCCAAACTAAATTGTGTAGAGTTTATGAAGCGTATAAAAAAGCAAATAAGATAGTGCTACCAGACATAACCCAAAAGAAGAAAAGGTGGTACATAAAATGTGCTCTATATTAAAAAAAAATATATAAAAAAGTACCATCTATTAAATGTAGTTTTAAAGCAGACATTTCCAATTTTATTGTTGATTTAGAATCGAAGAATATAATAAAGTTTGCGTACTTGATTGGTTTTAACATAACTCACCTATTAGCAGGTTGCGGCGGCTTTTTGCTTGTTACATTTGACCTTGCTGTGGCACTACGCGGTGTACTTGTAGTAGGCGAGTTACCTTTTTTCACTGGTACTGGTATACCGCTGGAAGTAAACAAACAAAAGAACTTAGAAATGGATTAAATAAAGAATATAATTACATTACATTTAAGTGAGATTCCGGAGAGTTTGACAAAGAAATTAATAAAAGAGAACGTCTTCTTACCGATGCTGATTCTTAGCTGGAGACTGTAGTGTAGGCGCTTGAGGACGTACGGGCGATGATACTGGCCGTGGGATTTTTGAGCCCCGACTAGCAGCAGGCGATGTTTCGCCTGGGAACGTATTATGTTATTATAATAACGTTTAAATATTAAACATGACTCATATTCTCTTAGGAAAATGCTTTTAAACTAACAGTCTTTAAGAAAATTTGTAAATAATCTTATAAATATTCCAGTTTCTAGTTTATGTAGCTGAATTGTTGACAACATACAACGAGATGGAAAAACCAATACGTTGTTTAATTACTTGTTGATAAATATTTTTACTGAAGACGTTTTGTATGTAACTAATAATATAGAGGAAAAAATATTCTTACAATGACTATACCAAAATTATTGCAATTATTAAAAAATAATGAAATAAAAAAAAGATGAAATAGGCTATAATTTAGGCGGGCGAAGCCTCAGGAAAACAACTATTTTGTTATTTCCAAGCGTAGATTTTGAAGTCATTTCAAAAAGTGTAAGTTTAACCTACATTTTCGGATTACTAAATAGATAAATACAAATCAAGTTTTTGTCATCCATCCCGTCTGACCTTTGCGAAAGTTGCTAAACAACAACGATCGAGGGCCGCGGCGTTTATCCACTATGCCAGCGAGCTACTCCAAAAAATTATTATCACTCCGTGCTTCGGAGAGCACGTTAAGCCGTTGGTCCTGGCTGCATTTGCAGTTGTAAATACCCTCCAATCTGCATTGGGCCAGCGTGGAGGGTCATGGCTCATACTCCTTAATCATCCACAAGGAAGGTCTGAGCCCCTGCAGTGGGGACATAAAAGGACAGGAAAGAAAAAAATGCTGTAAGTTACCTGTTGGTGTTACAGGGCTCTCCGCGTTACTGAGAAGTTCCCATTTGAGTTGCAATCTTCGGAATTTTCCACCAGAATTGTTGCTACTGTGACCGGTGTTAGCGCTTGCGCTGCTACCCGCTGATCCGGGCCTGAATGGCTCCTCTCCACTTGTATCCAGCTGAAAAATATACATCAGTTCAGAATATGTAAATATGTGAAGTATGTAATTTATAAAAATATGATCGCACTAAAATAATTGGTAAAACCACAGGGTATTCTAATGAAGGTTCTACAATCTGCCGTCCTTCCGAGTGCAGTAACTCGAAATTTTAGGCAAACTGACTTAGTAAATTTTCGTGATCAAAAAATGATAAATTATCTATATTTATACTATACTAATACTATATTAATCAAAAGTTATTATTTTTAATAACTATCAGATTATTAAAATATATCTTGTCAAAGAAAATTGAAAAATACCAAAATTTGTTTCGTTAGTACATTTTAATTTACTTTTAAGCAAGATATCTTTATAATGTAATCGTGCATACGCAGTGTAATAATACCATTGCATTAAAATGGAATGTGATTGATAAGAACAAAATGTTATTGCTACAAAAACAACAAAACAAAAGCGAAATCCTGCAAAAAAACGCAAATTATAAGCATATGAATGTGTAAACAAAAAACCTTCAAACGAAGTCGCAAAAAGAAACGAAACTAATTCGCTACGAAATGATGCACACTTGAGACAAACCCGACCAATCTAGGTTTACCTTTGGATCATTGCAAGTAGCTTTACTGCTGGGTTTGTTGTTCTCTAGGCTATCTGTGTAATCATCGCTGTCGTCGAAAACGAGTCGATCAAAAGCTTGCATTAGTTTCGAACCTAGCTGTACCCCTGACCATCTTCGATTATTTTCCAACTCAATTCTGCTATTGTTCGGACAAAGGTCGTACCCGATTGGAGAAGGATTGACACACGATCGAGGCCTATTTTTCTCTACAGTTGTTTTTACATTTGCAGAATCGTTAAGTAGGTCAGGAGTTGAAGGTTCCTTGCTTTTGGGTTCTTTATGTCGCATTATTACACTAGTTTGGCAATCATCGCTTGAGAGGCCGCTTGACTGCATTGACCGGACCAATTTCAGCAAATTCCGTTGGTTCAGTGTTAATGGCGGTGTGTTAATTGAAGTGGGCTGTTAAATACATCAAATTTGTTTTAGCGTCATGCATCATGCCGTCGATTGTTAGAAAATTTTGACAAGGTCAGGCTGTTATCGATTGTGAGACGATGCTTTTATTTGCATTTTATGAAAGCTGTGCACGAAAACAAATACTAAAGTTCGGTTCCACGTCGACTTTGATATTATAGTGTCGTGAGATATGATTTGGAAGCACATGCAGTAAACAATAAAATGCAAATAAAGCGATGTCAGCACGGATAGGCGATTGCTCAGCATGTTGATTTTCAATATTTTTGAACGTAACTAGAGTTACTTACCGAAATACTCTAACATATACCGAGTAATAAAAACGTTTTGTTATTTTAGTTAGTTTAATGTGTTTTAATTTGTAAGTGACATAATGAATAACACTTTAGTGTAAGTAGTTAGTGTATATTTACCCGACTAGCAGCACGCATTTCACTCTCTATCCTCTTGAAACTTCTATGTAGCTCGCGCATTTCGAACATCAGGTCTAGGGAGAAGGGTAGAAGTTTTAAAGGCTCTAGGCTCGTTAACAAAGAATCCAAGAGCACTCGGCATCGCGGTTCTCCAACACAACCAGCAAGAATTAAAGAATCAGGCCCATAATGTTTTGCGAGGATAGACTCTCTTGTCCTCACGTATGACACCCATGCATCAACCGATTGTGCACTGTAACAAATTTAATTTGATTCATTTAGTAGTTTTATGGTAGAACATTATTTGAAAAATAAAATTACACAAAATATTATACTTACTTGAGTAGTCCGAGTAAAAAAGCATTAAATTTCACAAGACCTTCGGTCACCGCATCCTCACTGTTTATCCGTAATACTAACTCGTTCAAGGACTTCGTTATTGGACCTTAAAGTAATGTTTCAATAAGTGTCATTATATCAATTGTATTATTAAAACAATATATATGTACGTTTATATGTATACCTTGTCTAGCTGTAGCTTCTACCATTTGCCAAACAGAATTATTGACGGCTCCAAAAGAAGTTTCAATGTTCTCTTTTAGGCCATCTCTGAAAATTGCATATAAAGCGGGGCACAGAGCATTCAAGGCTATTTTAGCACACGCTGGAGAATGTTTAGAATCGCCTAAAAAGGCGAGTTCTGCCTGATCCGTTGCGGGAGAGAAATGTTGAATTAGCATTTCGACAGCATCCGTCACATTTGAGACTAATGCTATAAATAAAATGAAATAGGATGGTTATAATATTATTGCGAGAGCAAAAATCAATAGAAAATGTAAACTTTAGATAAATATTATATGAAATTGCACCTAACCTCTTTTTTGTGACACATCGATAAAGTCATATTTTCCTCTTCCTTCATGATGAATGGGACTGATGAATTCATCAGGACTTACTTCACCTTCTTCACAAATTGGAATTTCAGCTAAATTCTTGCCCTAGTAATTAGATGAAAATATTACATAATGTATTTTATATTAAAAAATATTTTACTTTACAGAAAAAGCGTGATTGTAGTCACTAAAAATGATAAAATAAATAAACAAAACATTATAAAACAAAGACTAACGTGAAAAACAAAAAAGTCCAATGAAAATTCAAGTAATGACAAAAAATAATAAGTAATACGAAAAATAAACAAACCAAAGGTACTCACACAAATCAGTTGTAATGGCAGGAGCAATGAACAAAGTACAAAGAGTTATATTACCTGATAATGTCTTTGAGTGGCCACCGCTGAAATATTTGGAGAGTTAGGTGGAGTTGTAAGAGTGTCAACTCTTAACTCATCCACAGGTTTCAACTGAGTCTGCTGACCTTCGATCTTTGCTTCAGATTTCTGGGCAAAGCTTACTGACTTTTTGCTGTTACAACTACTACCGCTTGATTCGGTTGACCTCTGATTCTCCTCCTGAGATCGTTTCATTTGGAGGAATTTAGAAACCTGATTCCTTACCTTTTGTACTTGGTTTTGGTCCCATTCGTCCATGTTTTGGCAGTTAAATCCGCTTAATTTCAAAAATTCTTCTAATTGTTGCAAATCTGCGCTACTAATCAAAGCTCCTGGGGGTGGGAACTCTGTGTATTCTATTTTTTTACTTCTTGGCTTTGGCAATGGTGGCGTGTGTGGTCTGTGGAACTTGAGTTCATTAGATTTTCCAGAATCTAGGCTACTTTCGGTTCCAACACCTTCATCTTGGTAATATTCATTATAATCGGCGTCCTTCTCAGCGGCGTCAAGAAATTGTTGAGATAATCTTTTTGCTGCTAAATCATTATTTTTTCTATAGTCTAAGATTTGGTTCTGAAGGTAATATGGTTCTTGTAAAGATCTTCTCTTCGTTTTGTGTTCAGTTGCAGCCGTCGCACATATTACGGGATCTTGCATAAAATCTTCCATATCGAACATACTGTAACGCTTTGTATGAGAACTTGATTTGCGTGTTTTGTCCATAGATTTGCGTAATATACTCTTTGGTAGGGGTGGTCTAGGGGGAGCTAATTCTCCCTGTTTGCCAGTCCTGTTTTGATCAGCTAAAGATAATGATCTCTTGGGTATAACAGGATTTATTCTTTGACCATCATTATTCATAGTACTAGCTTCTGAACTAGTTGCACTTTCATATCGGTAAACAAAAAGTGGATTGTAATTACTAGCTGGAGCTGGACTATTTTGAGCGGAAGAGTCGGTAAGCATTGTTGATGATCCGCGATATCCAGAAGAAGGTTGTGTTGCTGTGCTAGAACTCGATGATACTGCAGTAACATTTCCTGCCATGTTGTTGCAATCGCAGCTTGTAGGCCTTTTCTTGGATTTCGATGAAGGTGAAGCGTTGCAATACTTTTCAGTGCATTTTGTATTTTGTGTTAACTCGGGTATTTCCGATAAAAGCTGTCTACATTCAACTGGTAGTAAAAAGTTTAGGGAGTCCCAATCTTTTATATGACCAACCCCTTTTTTCTTTAACATTTCTAAATCATTGCAAGAAAATGGTCGTTTGCCTTTAACATGCAATCGGTTTCTTTTATTTTCACTTGTTTTAGGCGACACATTAACTTTTACTGGATTTAGATATATATTAGGTCTACCATTCAAGAAACTAATATCAGGTAAAGTGTAATTAGGGTATAATACAAAAACAGGTTTTTCGCAATCACCCTCTTTCAATTTCTCGAGAAAAGATGGTTCAACCAATTTTAGAATTTCACGTTCATGAGTAAGACTTGATAGTTGCATACTTGATGTTTGCATACTTTTATCTATTGTATCAGTTTCTATGTGTGTTGATGTTGTTTTATTGTCACTTGCTTCTCTATGTAAGACTTTATGCATTTTTGTAATTTGGGTACCATCTGACTCGGAACAGCTTGAAATGCTCACACTAGTAGCGGATGATTGGGAAGAGTATGATTTTCTGTTGCTTTTCAGTTTTGATGGACTGGTAGTATTTAAGTTCGCCCTTTTTATATGAGGCTTATTAACTGTCGCATATAATGTGTCACTTTCATTCAATTTAGGATCTTCAATAAATTCTTCTTCTTCAATCAAAACTTCATCATAGACTCTATTATTATAAGGATTTGATGGTGGTATTTCTTCGTAAATATTTGAGTTATCCTCTATGTTACTTGGTAATTCTGCTTGTGGACGTTCCGTTAGTTTCAATTCTACTTTTGGTTCTCCCATGGAATCTCCACTTTCACCTCCAGAACTGGAGGGCCAGCATTCAGATCGGTCCAGTTGATCCATGCAAACAATTCCATCATTACTCATGCTTTTCTGTTTCATGAAAAGCTTCACTAAATTGAATTGTTGTTTTGATTGACTTTTGTCACAAGAAGTATGATTTTCAGTGGATGATGTGCTCATGGGTTCTGAATGTTGACTACCATGTGATGATCGATTTTGTAATACGTCGTATACTTTCATACATGTAGGTGTGCCAGTTAGTCTTTGGTTCGTGGAAAAGGAATCAACCTAAAACATAAACGTGATATTTAATATTTTACAATAAATAAGGTTAGAAAAGTAGGAATATGAATAAAGCGATTTGTATACTTACTGTAGAAGTACTTAGTACATTAGAATTTATAGAACTATTAAGAAGCTTCCGCCTATAAAGATTAGGTAAACTTTGGCTTTTGATAACTGAGTTGTTCATTTCGCTTGTCATATCAGCGGCATCATTAGAATCTTCATTATTATTTCCAGATGGGTGCCTAAAAATAATGATAAGGAAACAATTTTAAGTTGTTAGATTAAATAAATAATGTGTAATGAGAAATAATAGGCATGTACAAAGATGAGCTATTAGAATGGGTTACGTTGTTGAAATTTATGAATGATATTTTTATATACCTCCGCGGTAAAAATGACGATCTCTTTGGCCGAGTGGCTCGTATGTAACGTGCATACGAGCCACTCGGCCAAAGATTAAAGTATCATATCTGGGTTCAATATCGAACATGAAGTTTTATAGATTGACTCGGGTCTGCGTTTTCGTTGTTTTGGATTTTCATAGTACAAGTGCTACTTAATTTTGAATCTGAACAATGTATGTGATACTGTTTGTTATTTATATCTAATGTCTAATGTCACCTGAGATAATAAATTTATTAAGAATTATGCATAAAAATTAAGAACTCGGTCCTTTAATGATTACGATATTCATATTTTAGATTACCTCCTTAGCGGTGATTGACTGCTTTGTTTTTTTAATTTACTCCAAGTAGTTAATCCTAAGTCACTTCTTGCCATAGAAGTGGTTAATTTATTAGTTATTTTCTTACATCTCTCTAATAATTCTAAATTCCTGCGCGTTCTTTCATTATTATCTAAAATTACGTTCACATCTTCTTTACCCAATTTGTCTGAAAAAGATTGATAATATAAATATTAATTAAGTAAACACATAATGAGTCATTAAAATAAAAGTAAGTTTTCGTCATCGTTAACAATGTAAACAAATTATCTCTGTCATTATTTCAATATTTAATTTTGTTGTTATCCAGAGCGCTAATGTAATACAAAATAGAGTACAGTTGGACTATTTGAAAATTGCTTTGGAAGTTTTTGAAATGTAAAACGTACCATGTTTGTGATTGACGGCAAGCTCGACGCACTCACTGTCCTCAGAATATGTGGTGAGGCTGCCCTCAAAGGCAATAGTATAGTTGTCCTTATTAGCCTGGCAGGTAAGGATAAGATCCTGCTCCGTGGGCAGCTCGCAGTCCAGGCTGTCCACACTGAAGTGAACGCCGTGAACCCCCTCCTTTACCGGAGAGAAGAGCAGCTCTGATTTGCATATGGACATCGTGTTGATCGAGCCGACTGATTCTTCGCCCTGATAAAACAAATATCAATGCTATATCATCTGTGGTTAGTACTTTGTAAAAATGGGGGTCCATTGTGTCATATTTCACTACCGAGATTTATTTTAATAGGCACACACTTGATGCGTCTAAGGTAAATGTATAGGAAGCGTACAAAATCGGTTTGAGTAGATTTCGAAACACCCGAACATAAACATTTACGTTTAGCTATAATTCTAAACACGGATGTAAGGCGCGTCTAAATAAAGAAAGTGCACCGTTAGACTGCAAGTAAAGCTACAAAATGAATTCATAAAATTAATCTATATAGGCTATTCTTAATATCTGTATGAATAGTATATATGATTATCTCTATAAAAACATTTTAATGTTATTATTAATCATTCGTAATCAGTTTTCTGATAAGGTACAATAACAAAGAGAAAGAAATCATTTAGAAATTTAATTGAATAATTTCTGAATAGTATATTTTACAAACATAGAAATAATCTATGTATTCATTTAATTGTTCAGTGTACTTATAGCAGTAACGTTTATAATGTAACATACCAACATGGCGGACTTGGTGTTATCAATGTAATTCCCTTTCCTGCTATGAATGAGGTCACAAATCAAACTGCGAGTCATCATCATACCAACTAAATTTGCTCTATTAGAGCTAGTTAAATAAAAAATGATGATAGAAGCAACGTAAGTAAAATAAAGTGATATATATATATATATGAAAAATACGTTAGTGAATATTGTAATACTACCTTGCAGTGATATTGAGAGAGATTTAGATAGAAAAAAAAGTAATTAACACAAATTAGTATAGATATGTTATGTTATTAGTGCTATTGCAGAGTTTTATTTGAAATGTGATAAACGACAACATCATAAGAAACATTGGATATAAAAAAAAATAACAATTAGTTTCAATTTAATGTCGTTACCATTAATTTGTTAGAGTAGTCGTTTTACTCACTGAATAATATCCATTATAGGAATCCCAATCATATTCGGTCACACCCATTTTTAACACTATCAGTTTATTTCACACTGTCTCCTAGAACTACTTAAATCATTCACCAACTGCTTGTTAAAATGTCTTTGGCATCGTGCCGTTGCACTACACGAATAATCAGCCAACAGGTTCATATAGTCCAAATAGGTCCTTATCTAACGCACACACAACTATCGATTAAGTCCGTTAAAATATCAATTTTATTGGAAATAAGACACGTGATTTCCTGCATCGCAATGAAATAAAGTCTTCAGCACTCCCGGGAGTTCTGGACGCGACTGGGGCACCGGGTGTATTAATTTTAATATTAGCCACCGCATGCCCTTCTCAAACTTTATTATCGTAGTCGACGGTACTAGTGATTCATTCTATACGCAAACGGACTGGTAACGTCTTACCCGCAAATGTCTCACTTTCATACTGATATCATAGCATAAGCAGCAAGTAATGTTTTCTCAATTAGTGAATCAGATAATTGTCGATCAAGGCTGTTCGAAATTTTTAGAGTGCTGCATTTCATAGGGCTTTGCTAATTAGGAAAGCCTGACCCTTGCTAAAAGTGAATGAGACCTACATCTAATGCTTTATATTTTATACCATATTGTTATTGAAACTAAACTCACTGTGCATTTTAAACGTACATTAGGTTATGATCGGAATTTGTAGATCTGCTCTGCGCAAACTAAGATTCGCCATGCGCATTGGTTGTAACTAAAGCTCGTAACAGATGGTTAAGATATGATAATATTTTGAAACTCTTTCGTATATTAAGATACTAGCATAGCCTACGTTATATATAAGGTGTATATTATTTGTTTGGACTTCGTGGGGCGGACAGGTTAAATACTGTTGGCGACTATAGGTGTGTATCAAGCACCTGATTATTATTTCATGAATTCAGCATTGCTCCCATAGTATTAAATTGCATATGAAAATATTATCTAAGTCTTGTGTGTTGGATTGGATTGTATGGTGAGCGATATTTTACATAAAAATAAAATATCATAGTACCTTCACTGCCTGTTAAGAGCTATACTGTACAGTTTGAGAACTAGTGTCAGGATAGACTTCATTGGTAACGCACACATGGTGGCAATGTGCTCGACCTCACATACGGGCAACTAAATATGGCACACCCACACTAGAGTAAGTGGGAATTAGTATGACTGGGGGAGTAATGAGACGGGCAATACGATTGACGTAATTCAGTGTGGGCACACACATACATATGTGGCTGTTTGATTCTATTTTATATTTACTACTGGTACGTCCGCGTCCCGCGGGAGCAAAGTATAGTACTTATAACCTTTGTATGTTGGTATAGTTATGAATGCTTCCTACTGTTCCTTATGTCTCAATGTGAGAGTTCTTCTCATGGGACTGAACACTTAACTGTTCATTGAAGTGGCACGTTATGTTTTTTATAATATTTTTTCATTGTGTACCAATATATAATAATTCGAAATGATTAATCTATTCGCTAATAATTGATTTATTAGTGTCAAATTACACAGCAAGTTTGTTGTATTTATAAAGATTTCACAAATAGATTTAGGTAAGAAAGGTAACGCTACACATATTGACCAACCCTTCCAACCAACGAAGTATGTTTCTATTGATTTTTATACTGACACTATCTTTTACAATGATTTGTGTGTTGTGTGTTAGGTCATCTTTATTCTTATTTCTTCGTCATGAATGCTGTCTACGAACCAGCAGCAGAAATCTCTAGCCATAAGATATCTCATCGATATCATGATGATATTTCGTTTCATGTTAATACTTTGACATATCGTTTGGAGAGTAATTTTTGGAATAAATGACTAAGTTGTTAAAACTGCTATCACTACTAAAGTACATTTTAAAGTAGTAAAATGAAACGAAATGTCGGCATAACGTCGATAGCATGTCGTATCCTATGGCTAGAGAGTTGCACCACCACCAGCACCCCATTGTAAATAGCTGCGCTTAACGTTTTGCTGTCAACAAGTATTCCCAACCCTCCATTTACACAGTTCTCAACACCCAATCTCTTTTCTATGTCATCGATGTACATTCCATCCGAGATTTTATTATTCACCTTTCGTAATTTTTGACTAATCCAATATGCTCTTTATGAATGTCAGCTCGTAAAAAAAATCATCAATTTATTATAAGGTTATTCATAAGATCATCGCCATCTTTTATTCATTTCATTTTCATTTTACATGTAAAAATTCATTTATTTACTTGACATTGGCAGAATTGTGCGAAATGCGCAGATAAGCCATTAATTAAAAAAAGAAGAAGAAGAAGAATTTATTATAATAATGAAGTTATTATGTTTAAAAAAGAAATTATATATTAATTAAAATAAAATTATGTCTTGAAATATCGTCCAAGTTTACATATTACAAGAAACCCAAAAAGGGGTATGTATTTGTTTTATTTAGCAATCGTAATCTTATATACGAACTGTTTATATATTCATTTTTTGTTTGTTACAGTTTTTTATTTACCCTTTACATATTTATCAAAAAATAAATCAATTCTCAAGCTTAGTCAGCCTTACATTAATTCGCCCAAGCATCGAACCCGTCACAGTATGTTTACAAAATTATACTCTGATTTGTAATTTTTAGCTACGAATGAGGCGGTATCATCATATTTTTTTCTTTAATAAAAAGTATAAATTGAGTTCTACGCGTACTGATTAAAAGCGAAGAAAGACATATCCAATATTTATAAAATTATTTTTTAATTAATAATATTTTGGGATTGAGTCTCGACCCTATTGATGTCAAAAAAGCTTCTTAATATTAAAAATATTCTTAATGAAAAATACTTAAAATTCCACTTGTCCCTGGCACTCTGAGATGGGACTCGAACTCCACGACCTTTCGCAGCCCGGGCGACTGCTCTAACTACTGAGCTACCCAGGACCTAACGGGACTCTCGAATTTGTTAAGCATTTGTTACTTTTTCGCTACTACAGAGCGTATTTTCATCAAGGTTCAGGCAATTCACCCAAACATTATATATACATTTTTATAAATATTTATTCTTTTGATAAATATGTTGTTCTATTAGTGCCAGGGACAAAGGGATTTTTTTAAGTATCTTTAATTAAGAGTTACTTTTTTATTAAGATTTTACATGAAATACTTAAAATTTATTTTGTTCAGTGTAATTATGCTTATTATGTTGTATTTTACAGATAAATGTTGCATTTTACATTTAAAACAATTTGTTAAACGCCAAATTTATTTATAACGACTCAGTCTGCAAACTTGGTTATAATATTATAAGAAAAAATATCGTTTTTAAGGTTCCGTAGCATTTTATCCCGTACCGTAATATTTGAGGAGGCTCCATTACAACAAACGTGATTTTTTTGCTGTTACTCAGGCTGTAGGTATCTTATGAAGCGTGATTGTTAGATAATTGAGATTTTTACAGATGGTGTATTTCTGTTGTCGATATAACGATAAATACTAAAAAACAGAATAAAATAAATATTTAAGGGGTGCTCCCATACAAAAAAAACGTGATTTTTTGGGTTTGTTGACCTAAACTTATCTACATAGAACTCTTTGGTTGACAGCCTTATTTGGTTAGGTTAGGTTAGCTTAACTGAGGAACATAAGTTCCTCAATGAGGAACATAATGATTACTCATTTTCTTTCATAATTCCAATTTTTTTCTATTTAAGAACCTTCTTCGGGCTTCAATGAATATTTATAAAATGTCTATTTGGTTCCGTCGTTATCGAGCTTTACGCTTTACAGTCATAGCGTTTACGGATTTATTTTTAAACTTAAATGTCACACACGCTCGAGCCCAATTAATATTTTTAATGAAGATATCTAGCGCCATCTATGTACATATTAGCATACTGAAAGCACTGTTCTCTTGTATGAGTTCAAACGAGATGGCGCCACTTGTTCCATAATATAGCCGCCTTAAAATGAACTAAACAAGATTCAATTATAATTAGTGTAGATTTAGTGTAAATTTTAGCAGTGATTGTGACTTTCTAGTTCTTTATGAAGTGGAATTGAACACTGAACAGCAATTTGTGGCGAACCTGGAAACTACTGCCGATACTGACACTGCTGTCGAACCGAAATCTTTCCATGAGAGAACTCGAGATGCTGGCGAACATCTCGCCACGGGGGTTACTCTGCAATACACATATAGATCACCCAACAAAGTTAGAAGTATAGAACTGAAAAATAAACATACATAAAATAACTAAAAATAAAATAAATGATAAAATACATGATTTCGTTACTTCCAACACCATATTAGAACATAGAATACGATAATAATTAAAATATAAATCTTTATAAGTAGGTAGTTAATTGAATATTTTAGTATTAATAAAATCTCACAAGAAATAATTTATGAAATAGGAGAAAAGATATTTCAATTCATAAAAAAGTCATATTAAAATAATGTGATAAACGTTTAACTAATATGTACTCCAATCTTATATCATCCATATAAAAATGAATCTGAAAGATCATTAGTGAAATAAAGTAAAAAGTTTTTGAGGGCATAAATGAAGTTAAAAATAACATTTTTTATGAAATCAAATGAAAAAATATGTAAGTCATGTTCCCATTTTCAAAGAACTAGTCACAACGGTGAAATCAGATATCCAACAGTGCCATAACAGGAATGAAACTGGTGATTACATTGCGAAATGAAAGTTGATGTCCCGAAAGACTGTTCTACAATAAACCAGACTAGTAGCAAATTAATTAACATTACAGATGTGATGAACTAAATACAAGTCAAGAAAGCGCATTGCACCTCCAAATTAGTCCTTTTAAAGTATTCATTACAACACGTGCATTAATTACATCACCATCTTTTTAAAACTAAATAACCGACATTCATTAAAGATATCCACGTTTTATTATATCTGTAATTTGCTATCTATCCTTGATCTGAGTACTTTAAATTTACTGAAATATTAAAATTATTCAACATTACTTTAGGCATTGTGCATAAGATTAATAAAGATATACTGTAATCTCTTTATTTGTGGTATTTTCTGCTAGATATTTAATATATACCAAAATAAATGACAAGTGTGAAAAGAAATTAACAACTAACTAAATTACGCAAAATTAACTCACATGACCACTCACATCATGCGTTCTATCGTCGATGATGGCGTCGTGAGGCAGATTTGCGGTCATCAGCAGTGCATGAATGTCTTCGGTCTTGAAGCTTTCCATGTCGGCCTCGGCGAGGTTCGCATCTAGGTCCCTGGCGATGTCGTTGTAGCGGGAAGTGAACTCAAAACGAGATGCGAGATCGCCGATACCTTTGTATGAAGCCGACACGGAGGAGAGGACTGAGGTGTGATGGCACGAGCCGTCTCGAAATATTGGGCTGCGAAATGAAAATTAATAAACTGTTACTGCATTTTGCTATGAGACCTGTGAATATTAAAAAGTATTTTGATAGAAGTTAGAGCAGTAAATGAATAGTAATAATGAATCTCCAATTGTGTTGCAAATTTGGCATTAGTTGAATTTATTTATCTACTTTTTTAATAACAATATTTGAACTCCGAGAAAGATCCTATGGAGAAAAAAATACAAAAATTACAAGGAAAGCAGCGAAAATAACAGTTATTTATACTCTGTGATACAATATATAATAAGTTAGATATATTTAAGGTAAACTTACTTATAATCTAAGAACCAGAGGTAGCCAGAGTTGTCGCAATGTGCGTCGAGATCATCGTGCGCAGAGTGCTGGCTGCCGGTGAGGCTTGTGTTGCTGTTGCAGTCCTCGTCCGTAGCGACACCGGGGCTCGCCGCCTTCAGCCCCAGCCGTGGCGGTGGCCCTGGAATATCAACAACAAATGTTAGAATGTTTTGGTCTTGTCTTTGCTATCAATACTTTTTTAGTAATATTATATTGTTTACTTAGGGTATGTTAAGAAAAATATTAATAGGTTGAGTTACAAAGAAATGGGATGAGAATTTATAGGATTAATACGGAACCCTCTTCAGTCTAATGATTGCATTGCAATGCATTAATTATTTATTAAAGCGAATTGTAATGGAATTGGAATCAATTTACTTCAATGTATCTTTATTTAGCCAACACGAATATATGTATTATTTGAGTGCATCTGTAATTCTTTATTTATTAGGTGTTAGTTTTGTTGTATATTTTTTGATATCAAATTTTTCGGTCATTTTTTCTTAAAACTTCCTTCAATGTTATTGTTGCCTTCTTTTAACGTTTCTTTACTTAAAAAGGGTGTAGTCATTTCCTAATGACTTCATCATTCAGTCATCGATTCCAAATAATTATCTGTTTATCACGCAGGTGATAATGTAGTAATAGTATGCACAATGCGGCGCCGTTAGCAAAGTGCAAATCTAAACTGTGGTTGCAATAAATATTCATTCACCCCATGGCGCCATATTATACCGTCGAAACTAGCATACCATTATTGAAATACTAAAGCGTAGTGGTAGTTGTTTATCCTACAGAGTGACTAGTGGGCGGGCCGGCTCCGGCGGCGTGCCTTATAGGGAATGTTGCTGTGTTGTGCATCCAGAAACAGAAACAAAGAATAACATTACCAGCATTAGCCAAACAAGAAACGACAGAGCAAAGTAATGTTATTTTTACCATGTTAATTAACTATCAAAGCATCCAAGGCCGAGCATTGCCTCGCATTGAAATGAAAGACTTACATTGATCTTAATATGATTGAATAAAGGTTAATTCAAGGCGAGATAGTGTAAGAAAACCATTCAATGCATAAGGTTAATAATCGTCACATTTGCTAAGTACTAACTAATTTGATCGGATTCGAGAATGACGGGAAGCAAATATCAGCTATCATGACGCAAAATGGCGTTGACTCATCCCACGCCAATAAGCTTTGGCCGACCAATTGTTTTTGTTGCGGTAGCATTAATTCAAAACCAGTCTCATGAATCACCGTTTCACCGTAGACTTGTTTAAATAATCATAATCGACAGGGTAATCGTATCAGAATTTGTAATATCATCGGTGTATGTGATAAAGTGAAACAAAACATTTGCCGTCGGTACTGTATGAAAGAATGTGGACTAGTGGGTGTTTGCATGGGCGTACCCAGTGTGGCTATTAAAATGATGTGGTCAGTGTATATCGTAACCAAGATCTGCCGTGGGGAATGTGCTCGCGGTACTCGATATACCTAATTTAGAAGTTAAATTGAATTAGTGTATATAATTCATGTATAAATCTGTCTATAAATAAGTGTTAAATAAATCAACGATTCATAAAAGCATCAACAAACAGAACACCATTAGTATTTAAATTACTATAATGCGATAAGTGACATTATGCGATCGCGAAAAAAAGTATGAATTATTAGTACAGACAGTCCTTTAATGCAACCATTCAAATAGTTAATATAATCTATGAAGTCAAATGTTGGTCTATATCATATCGCAGTGCATTGGAATTTCAAAGAGATTAGTTTTCTACATAATAATAAAGTAACCAATATTCCTAATCGTTTCACAATTCATGGGTAAATGTTTGAATGCCTTAGATGAAAATAAACGTGGAATGCAAACCAGAACATGTTTTAAAATGTCACTGTTTTCATTATCCCATCGATGGCACGGAGCCAGATTTTCGGAAATTCAAGTCTCTCGTTTTATTAACCGAATCTTTGCACATTTAACTTTGTAATGAATCTTATCTCTGGGTGAAATGGGTTATTGCTCGTGTAATAGCGCATTTTTCTTCAGTTCAGTCACACGCCTTCTTAACCGTGTTAGCATTTTAACGCCACTTTATTTTATTCCTGTCTTTGTTCCAATTCGTCTGAGGTAAAATGTCTCTTTGAGTGTGATTGTTACGGACGGCGGACATGAAGACCCTTCCCCGCAACCTCACCCCCGCAACGAGTGGAGGGGGCACACCACGGGCAGCAGCGACGGGAGCACCCCCCCGCGACCTCCCCGCCGCATAATGGAAGGGGCACCGACATAACATGAATCTATTAGGTCAATTAACGCGTTAGGATAGTAGCTAAGTGCGAACGAACAAATCCCACTTAAGTAAACCCGATTTGTATGAAAGCATGCCTACGAACGTTTTCGTACTTTGTACTGCAAATAAGAAGAAAGAATAAACGCCTTCAAATCTCCAAACTGTTGTTTCCATCCCCAACAGTTTTCGCTGGTCCTTCAAGAGCCGGATAAGGAGCTCGCTGATTCTTCAGAAGCCGGATAGGAAGATCGCCGAGCTACAGTTTGCTCGTCCGAAGCCGGAAAGAAGAAAGCGTGTTCTACGAGCGTCGAAGCACTGCAAGATCGGTACAGTGTACGTCGGTACAGAGTACGTCGGTACAGAGTACGTCAGGTAGAGAGTACGTCGGTACAGAGTACGTCAGGTACAGAGTACGTCAGGTACAGAGTACGTCAGGTACAGAGTACGTCGGGTACAGAGCACGTCAGGTACAGAGCACGTCAGGTACAGAGTACGTCAGGACAGATACAGCAAGATGCCGCGAACAAGAAGCACCACTAAGGACGACCGCGCCACCGACGCGTTACTGGAGCAAGCACGCCGTGGATTATATGAGCTGCCACCCGCTTCACCCTCTGTGGTCGATGGAACAACGACCGCTGAACGCGAGAGGGGTCCTATTCCCGTCGGAACCAGGGAAGAAAAGGACTTTGAACAAGGGGCCACGGCACCAATCACAGAGAAGCAGCGTACTCCTACGCGTCCGGCATCGGTTCGATCTTCGGCTAGCACTGCGGCACGAATTTTGAAAGCCGAATACGAAGCCGAAAAACGGCTGACGGAAATGAAGATCCGTATGGAGACGGAACTTATGAAGAAGAAGCTGGCATGGGAAAAAGCGGTTATACAAGAGTCGGACAACGAGAGTATCGCCGACGATACGAACGTCGAGGAACGCATCGACACATGGCTAAACCAAAGCTCTTCCATCGCGCAACACACGGAGCAAGATTCAGCGCCACAACTGGAACGAGAAGCAACGAGAACAACGCCACACCGCGTATCACGACGCGCTCCCTACATCAATGCAGGGGGGGAGCCCGAAGCGCACGCTGCAGAACCACAGCCACAACGACGACGATCGCCGTCAAGACAGCAACGGGGCATGGAAAAGCTGGCAGACGTGCTAGAGAAAATGATGCACGTCAGATCGCCGCCGAGACAAGCAACCGAACTACCCCTATTCAGCGGATCACCGATGGAGTGGCTACCGTTCAAGGCCGCTTTGAACGAATCCACGCAGCTGTACAAATTTACGCCGATGGAAAACCTGGCGCGACTTCGAAACTGCCTGAGGGGGGAAGCTAGAGAAACAGTATCGGCGCTGCTAGCAACCACTACGGACCCGGCTGAGATCGTACAAGTTTTAGAGCAGTGTTATGGACGACCAGAAAGCATCATCTGCCACGTGCTCGAGCAGATAAGAAGATTACCGAAGCTCGGAACCACCGCCGCCGAATGGAACGCGTTAGCGGTTAAAGTTCAAAACATCGTCTGCGTTATGAAGCAAATTGACAAGAAAGGATACCTCTCAAACCCAATGCTGGTGCAAGAAATAGTAGCGAAGCTCAACCCATGCGTCACTTCAAAATGGTGGGACTACGCAGAGGACCACGGATCGGATCAAGAACCAGAGATCGTAACGTTATCGAAGTTTCTCACGCGCGAAGCAAATAGAGCATTCCGACATGCACACATGTCAACGCCCAGCACGATTACGAAAAAAGAAGATAAGAAACCTTTCAACACGGGAGCAACGCGACGAGCGGCAACGCACAACATCACACAAGCAACCGAGCGTCGCTACTGCTGCTGTTGCCGGGGCGATCATGAGCTACCCAAGTGCCCGCAGTTCATCAAGATGAACACGGACGACCGATGGGCGCTTGTCAAAAAGGAGAAAATATGCTTCAAGTGCATAGCCGCGCGCCACCGACGAACATCGTGCAGAGCAAAGCTGTGCGGCCAGAACGAGTGTCGCCGACCCCATCATAGACTGCTGCACGCGGAGGCCGCACCTGCACCCGCATCGACGTCCGCCGACACCACCGAGGAGTGTCACGAAAAGAAGACTGACGTCGAGACCGTCGCCACCACAGTCGGCTCCGAGAAAAAGAAAGAAGTCCTACTGAAGGTGTGCCCGGTCGTCATCAAGGGACCGGCCGGCGAAGTACGAACCTACGCGTTACTGGACGAAGGCTCGACGGTTTCGCTAATAGACAGAAGATTAGCGGAGGAACTTCGCGCCGACGGCCCCACGCAGACCATCCACCTGCACAGCATACAGAACGTCATAAGGGATGAAGAAAGCAAACGAGTGAAACTTCAAATACGGGGCACTAACACGAACTTCTTCGACTTAGAAGCCAGAACGATCGACCGAATCGGTATAAGAGGACAATCGATTCCAGAGGCCGTCCTGAAGCACCCGCATCTACGTAAGCTGAGCGCCGAAGAGGTGTGCTACGATCGAGCACGACCACGAATCCTCATCGGCGCGGACCACTGGCACCTCGTGATTTCCCGGGAGCTACGCGCCGGACGAAGATCGCAGCCCGTCGCGTCAAGAACAAGCCTAGGTTGGGTGATACTGGGAAACCTGCCTCGAGCCACGACCAAGGAAAATCACAAGATAGTGTCACATCTGAGAATCACAGAAGATGCGCCGCTTCGCCCGTGCACTAACGACGTCGACGAAGAACGCCTCGACGAAATTATAAGAAGTCACTATGACATCGACGCGCTTGGAGTATCGACGAAAAATCGAACAAAGCCCGACGACGAACGCGCCGCGGCTAT